CTAGGAGCAAGGACGCTACTAGGGGCTCCTGGCCTTACTGCTAGGAGCAAGGACGCTACTACTAGGAGCAAGGACGCTACTAGAGGCTCCTGGCTGTACTGCTAGGAGCAAGGACGCTACTAGTAACTAGAAGCTTCCTTGGGAATCGTTTCACCTGTAGGAGACCGTGACTACGTCTTCGAGAACGTGCCCGCTTGCCTGGCCGGCGGTGTGTACATTGGAAGCCGCGTGTGGCCCCAGGCAGGCGTTTGGACCATTGAGTATGAAGCTCCCACCATGCTTTATGTCACCAGGCTGTTGTTGGGTTAGCTGTTGGACGCTGTTGGATTCTTCATGAGATCAAAACAAGCCCCTCAGAGTGCTTGGAGGTTGGGTCTTTCGCTTCTCTGATTGTTTTTTTCTCATTTCCTGGAAATGAGGTCTGGATTCAAAACGGTAAGTACGATGCCGGCGTGTCCGAGTTCTTGACCGCCGACGGTTGGGTCCACCAAGAGGCCGGGAATTTCTTACGGAGGCAGAGCGAAGGAATCAACCACTTGGCTTTGTTTGCTCGGCACTTTGCTGCTGGCACATCTTACAGCTGCTGGGTCAATTTCAGAGAACGTGTTAGGGGCTAGATTTACTCCACCGTCGGGATGAAAGAAGAGCGTTTAGTTTCGTGATTTTTTTGTGGCCGCCCCGTTGTGGAAGTGGTAATAATAAAGATCGGTTTTGCTTGAATCAATGCACTGAAAGAAACGGATTGAGTGGACAAAATGTTTTGCCCACTTCCTCGGACAAACAGTTTGGGTGAGACTTACGGTTTCTACCTTTCTTCTTGTGACTTGTTCTTTAAGTTAACTGTTTTGTTTTTTCTGTTTGCGTTCATATGCGTTCATTCTTCTTGTGTTTCTTGTTTCTTGCTTCCCCGAGAGTGTTTTCCCTTTTTCTACCCAGCCCAGCCTCTTCGAGGTATCACGACGAACAGTCTCATGGTGGGTGGGGTGGTGTCTCAGTGCTCTGAAGGCTGAGACTCTGAAGATCAGAGTCCCAGTGGTGTACTATCGAAAATAGATGAAAGTAGGTTTCATTTCACGCCCGGAACTGTCGGGCCTGCTGTACTGTAGCCCGTTTGGGCGTTGGAAAAGCAAAGCTAGAATGCCGATCGCTGATATCCTTGACTCTGGATGACAGCTCAATAGCTCTGGATGGCAAGGTCTTGTTCTGAAAACTGCGAAAGATCCACCCTCGCCCAAGGACTGCACTGCTCAGAGAGCGCAGCGAGCATGCCTCAGAGCTGGTTTTAAACTCTAAACAAAACCCAGACATGTATGTCATATATGCCTACATTGACCCGTATATTGGTATATTTTCCATATCCAATTGGCATGGGAGCCGCCGCCTGTGGGTTCAGTCCACCCGGCGCCCAGGACAATCTCTATGGCTCTCCGTTGGGCCAACCTGAGCTGAAAAGTGATGGGCGCCGGAGATTTCAGAAATGCCACGTGTTTGTGAGCGCCCTGGCTGAAAAGTCTGATGTTAGAATCCTAAGCAAGGTCATATGCTTTTGATGTTTTGCAAGCGTGAATGCACGCCCCCACACATCTCAAAGGCACGGACCTGACCCATGTCAATTGTGGCAATACATGCTTAGGACAAAAGAGCCTCAGAACACGGCATGGCCCAGCGAGCACACAAAGGACAAAGTCACAAGTTTGTTAGAGTTGAAGAATGACACGCACAAAACGAGAAGCGTGTTTCATGAGACCTCAAACCAAACTCAAGGCCATGAGCTTTCTTCTGAACAAAGGCCAAAAAAGCTTGGCTGTGCGGTGGGAAGGGCGCGATTCGATCGAGCCATATCGAGATCGGCTGCCTTTTTTTGCTGGACTGGTTTTTGCATTGGAGTTGGATCGGGTTCCTGACTAGATTTGGTCAGGTTATGAGCCCAAGGCTTCGTTGACGCGAGGTCTTGGCGTCGAAGAAGAGCGACACAGGAAGCGCTGAGGCAAGGACAGAAAGAAATGGAAGCTGCTCAAAGGCGTTTGGAAAGGGAGAGAAAGGAAAGTGTGGAGCTCCCCATTGAAGACGAAAGGAGGGATACTCCTTCCACTTCGGTCCCAGTTCCCAATGAAGACAGCCGGACGAGAGCTTCCGAGTCGACTTCGAAGATCCCGCAAACCACTGGCAGGATCCAGCAGCCCACTGTCAGGACACCTCAGCCGCAGGATCGAAAGAAGACGACAGCAGCTGAAGTGCCCGAAGCTGAAGTCAGGACACCCGAAGAAAGGAAGACCATGGAAGCTTCCTCAAAGAAAGAAGATGGTGGAGTCAAGGGAAACGGTGGGAAAAGGATGGAAGAGGGCATGGAAGGGGGATGACAGAGCCTCTCGTCGTGCCGATGTCCACACCACCGGATTCACTTAAGTTGCCGCTCTTCACACAAGAGCAGTTGCTTGAACCTCATCAAATGTATGAGCAAGCCCCATCGCTCTATCCGAAGTTCCAGACTCGGTACTCCGTTGCTCGACCTACCTTTCTGCTGAGAGAAGAACCGGAAGGGAAGAGAAGGTGGAGAACGGAAGAAAGAGAAGAGGAGGAGAAGGGTCGAGGACCAAAGACTCAGGTCACAAGCCATCGGAGTTGCGGCTGCAGACAAAAAGGAAGGAAGAAGGCGAGTGACTTCGAGGACGCCGCTTGCAACAGGTGATCGAAGAAAATCGCCAACTCAAAGGAAGCCTGAAGCGACTCTCCTCCCAGCTCAAGGCCAAGGAGGAAGAAGGTCTTTTTGCAACCCCGAATGGAAGCGTGGGGATTGAAGAAGATGAAATGAATCGAGGTCCAGAAGACCATGAGAAGGACTCAAAGAACGAAGAAGAGGTTCGAGAAGGGTCAAATGGGAAAGGCTATGGAAGACGAAAGAAAGAGCAAGCATCTTCGGAGTCTCTTCTCCCACAGACTGTGGATGTGATCCTCCGACTTCTGCAAGGAATGCAGGACATTCAAAAGAATAAGAAGATTGTCAAGAGCTCAGGTAAAGATGATGGGGACGGTGAAGGAAGTCCAGAAGTGGTTCAAAGAGGCGTTGAGCTGCCCAAACTTCCAGAGCCGTCACCGGAGACAGGTCCCATCGACTTCTCGGATTGGCTCCTCGTGATCCATGGGACACCATCATCCTGTACCACCACCTCTCCTGGCTCAGAAGAAATAGCAGAGATTGGAAAGGAGGGCTTCTTCTTTACTTCTGGCCGCAATACCAGAAGGACCGAGAGAGGAGGTAGTCTGTTCACGAAGCTTGACGACGTTGGCAATCTTGACAAAAGGTATGCATGACCCAGTATCAACCAGAGAAATCCGCTGTTCTGGCGGCGTTGGAGTCTCCGCAAGAAGCTCAGACGATTGCTGGAGGAGTCACAACATTGAGGAGGTGGCTCCGCTGGAAGAGGCGAGCTGAGGAGCTCGGTGTGTCCATTCCGGATGCAACGACCTCGCCAAGGGTTTGGGGCGACTGATGAAGAAGCTGAGCGCCACCTACTCAGACCTGAACTCCAGGCTCCAGCTCATAAGAAACCAGCTGATGGTTGACGCGATTCCAACTCAGGAGTCAGTCACAAAGTACTCGCATCATCTGTTGGCGGAGCTGGACACCATGGGTCACCAAGCAAAGAAGAAGGAGTTTGTGGCTGAAGCCCCGAAGCTCAAGAAGTTCTACTTGTCCGACACTGGTTGCAGGAGGGGCAAAGGGTGCACCTTCTCCCACGACCAAAAAGATGAGAAAAGAAGGTGCTGGAACTTTGGCAGCGCAGACCACATGTCTCCAGCGTGTGCAAGACCAAAGGAGGGAAAAGACACAAAGCCAAAGATCGCAAAGGCAGAAAAGGAAAATAAGGGAAAGAAGAAGTGAAGGGATCAGAAGAAGGCGGTGTCTCCATGCAGCCAAGTGTGAAAGACCTGCTTGAAGATGCCAACAAGATGTTGGTGTCGCAAGTCATGGAGAGATTGCAAAAGCAGCTCAACTCACTCCGCCAAAAGACGTTTCGAATTTCGACTGATGAGGTTGAAGAAGGGTGAAAAGGCTGGATTGATGGACAGCGGGGCCACTCAGGCCCATCAAGAGAGGTGAGAACAAAGACCTCTATGAAAAGGTTCAAGTCGCCTTGGCTGATGGACAGACAACATGGTTGCCCATAACTCCACAAAGAGTGATGATCGCCGAGGACCAGGACATCGAGCCTATCGTTCACCAAATCAAAGTGAGGAGTGTTCCCGGCGAGGCTTTTGGGCGAGTCTGGCTAGTCTTTTTTGCATTTTCGAAATTGTTTTCATAATTTTGAATCATGTTTTAAGCATAAAATGGTCACAAATAAGATCTAAAATGATTAGGAATTACTCAAATATGACTAAAAATGACTCAAAAGTGATTAGACATGATTTTAAACAAAACTCACGAACGGGTAAAAGTATGAGTGAACCAAAAGTGTTTTCACGGGTACATCCACGAGTGAAGCCACGAGTGAAGTTGCAGTGAACTTGCAGACAAAATGAAAGTTCAACATAGCCTTTTACGATAAGTTGACGAGTCGAGCAACAAGCCAACTTACAAAACACAATGAAATATGTACTAAGTACAAACGGTTCCTGAACGATAAATCACTCCTGGCCTCGTTGAAAAATCTTGAACTAACTAGCTTAGTAAGTTTTGAATTTTGGCTGAAGGGCTCTGTGCTGGCAGGGGCTGTGACAAAATAAGGTTTTGCAACTAGTCTAGTATTGAATCAAGGCATTGAAAAGTATTTATTTGTTGAAAGTAGTCAAGCTTTAACTGTGCTGGCAGGGATTGTATAATAATTATTGAATCGAGTCAAAATTCTAGACAGTTTTGGCTGAAGAGCACTGTGCTGGCAGGGATTCCAACCCTTGCAAGCAACATCAAACTCAGTCAAACATGCAGTAGGGCACATTTTTTTAGTCTAGGTTAAAATTGAACAATACGTGACAAGACATTCAGCTCAATCAGCATCAACCTCATCAAACAAGTCATGGTCATCCATTATTGATCTTCATGATGATTCACCTGGCTGGCACGAACGAGGTGCGCCATTCAGTTTACTGTGCTGCACGTCTGAGTCCCATGACATGGAATCATAGCAATCAAAGCATGACTGAAACTATCAAGGACTATCACAGGTCGCAAACAACCCTTTTTTTATGCCAACTTGCCCAACAACTGTGAACAACCTGAAACCGAATTAATTCAGCAAAGCAGACATGGAACTTGTGCCCAGTCTCCATCGCAAAACATATCTGCTAATTTGACATCCAAAGGAAGAGTTTGGCACAGTGCCCTTCAGCTTCGACTCCGATGATTACTCACTGCTTCACTGACTTGAAAGAACATGCCAAAGGCTTCTCTATTAATCTTTTGAAGCTCACGCAATTGATAGACCATCGCCCCAATGTGTCTGACTCAGTGCATCAATGTGATGATGGCGTATCGGAATCATCAGGATTCCAAGAAATGCAGGAGTCAGAGCCAGCGTCATCAGACAACTGCACTTTGCCAACAGCACTCGGTTCTTCAAATAAACTTGCATTGTAAACGATGTTGATGGAACAGGAATTGAAGAAGTGAATCACCACCATGATGATTGCAAACGCCACACTAAATGTCACCATCATGATTGCCATGGCTTCCATCATAAACAGCACGTTTGATTGAACAAGTTTGAGTGCTCAACTTGGCTGCTAAGATGAAATTTCCATCACAATGTACACCTTGCAAAAGAATAAATCAAATGCGAATCAGTGCAGCAGCTCAACACATACTAAGGACAAGTTTGAACACTCAACTTGACTGTTAAGATCACAATGCCATCAAAACATGCGCCTTGCAAAATGATAAACCAAATGCGAATCTTAAAGCACAGTGCAGCAGCTCAGCGCATACCTTTTTCACTTACAGCCACATTTCTTGTGTTTGCAGATCCAATCCAGCGCGCCCTTCTCATCAACCCTTGTGGATGACCCCTTG